TCAGATACCAGTCGGATCGCACGGCTGACGCCGAGCTCTCCTCCTTCTTTTTAGCTCGGCTTCGCCGAGCTGGCCTGGCTTCGCCAGGCGCACATCATAACGGGATGGAATTAGTTAATTGCATGAGCTGCTCATATTGCGCGGTAGTGGTCGAATCATAATAGACAGAGTAACCTAGCGAAATCTGCACCCCTCAGAGTTGCGGAAGGCGTGTGGTTTCGGCCATAACGCCCATTCTATACGTAGATCTCAGAAATAGATAGGAAGTACAGAATATCAATATGTGTTGCACAGTAGATAAACAAATTCCGTTTTTATTACCTGCATCACAACAGCAACGATGGGCAATTGACTTGTCATTAACATGCAATCCAACCTGCTTATTTGGTTTTAGCGCATGAATGGCTGCAGATGACAATATGTTCATTGAATATCTTACAAACTACTTCGTTATACGTTCTCATCAGTGTTTAAAGTTGAAAAGCAAAAAAAAATATTTGAATACTCACTGAACGCATAAAGTGTGTTCCAATATTGGAGTTTTTGATTTTTCCAAACTTCCTGTTTCAGGCGAAGTATATACCCCCCTAGCGGGATGAGTACATTTTCCAGTGCCTATCAAGGGATGATGCGGGAAATTTCTACTGAGAGGCTTTTTTGGCAGTGTAGTGGTTCAGAGATGTCGTGAGATTGTCCCCTTATCTTTGCTTATCAAATTGATAAAATTGTCACCCGTCATCAATGTCGCTATCACCAAAACCCATAATTTCGCCGTTAGAAGCATCACATGGTTAAAACGACTGCCATCTTCTCTTACTCCATTCTGCTGAAATCAACGCCTTATGAGCTGTCGCCCGCGTTATAGTAGTTGTCTTTCCATCTAATTTCCCTATCAGAGCAAGCAGTCTTTGCACCACAAACTGCCCGTAACCTGATATCCCCCCAAATCCTAATCCAGCAGCCTCATCGTGGCCGGTGGAGTGAAAACGGTTTTGGGGACTGTTCCAAAAAACGTTACAATGCGGAGGGCTTGCACGTCGAGGAAGGTGCGAGCTTACGCGTGTGTTAATATTATCTTCTCGGCCAAAAACAGTTAACAACGTATTGGCGCCCCTCATTTCCCTGAAAGCTGAGGAAACCACCGACAGGGCGACGTCGGCTGGGACCGCTCGGACGAGGCTGCAAAAATCACAGGGCCAACGGAGATTTGAGTCGCCCAGGACTAGGATGACGATCTGTACTTTCAACGCACGGACGCTTGCATCGGAAGCTCACATCGAAGATCTGATGTTGCAAGCCAGGAAGATCAAGTACGACGTCATCGGACTGACCGAGACGAGGAGGCATCGCCCGCTTACCACGCGTTGTATCGAGGACTGGAGAAGAACTGTTCCTCGGAACATGCGACAGCAGAGGCGTTGGCGGTGTGGGCGTCCTCGTCAACACGCACTTGGCCATGAACATCGATTCGTACGAAAGTCTGACGACCCGAATCGGACGTTTGCGATTGAGAAGATGTGGTTCAACTCCAGCTTTGACAATCTTCGTCGCCTACGCACCAACATCAAGCTACGACGAGGATGAGCTCGAAGCGTTCTATATGGAATTGGAGAAGTTCTACAAGGAAGATCATACCTTCTTCAAGGTCATCGTCGGTGATTTCAACGCTAAGATCGGACCAAGAAGAACGGCTGAAGAACTTCACATCGGAACTCACGGAACGGAGTGATGAATTGAGCAGGTACGTGAAAAGGCTGTCTGAGTTTATCATGTCGACCCACACCATCCATGGTAACTCGCAGTTCCAGAAGCCCTACTCTCTGCGCTGGACATGGGAGTCTCCTGGTGGACAATTCCATAACGAGATCGACCACATCATCTGCAATCGAAGGTTTTGCCTAATCCGAATGTCGTCTCGTGTCCCCGTAAGTGTGCTTACCACCGGGATCCGACCATCGCCTCCTTCGCGCAAGATTCCGCTTTTCGATGCGAGGAGAGAGAGCCGCAAAGTTCAAGAAGCGAAGCCCAAAGACCTTCATCAACTGGGATCACTTCACTTCTCTCGCTGGGCTCTGGGAGGATTCTGTCATCGACAACATCGACGAGGAATACGAACGGCTTGTTGCACATCTTCACGACTGCGCCAAGAAGTCAGAGGGTTCCAAGATTACCAAGAAGCGTCTATCTCTGGAAACTCTCGAGCTGATTCGCCAACGTGGAGCCGCACGAGCCGCAGTGGCATTACAGGCGACGTCTAGCTTGCGAAGCTTTATGGCAGAAGGCAGGCGATAACAGTTGAAGGACCTCAAGAGCAGAAAGAAGTAGCAGGATATGTGGAAGCGCAGAGGCTGTGGCAAGAGATACGCAACGCCCGCCAGCGACTTCCGGCCAAAACTGTAAGACCAAGATGACCGCCCTCCGGCGTCCGGATGGAACAATCACCGCATCCAGAAGGGCAATGGAGAAGGTCATCCACGACTTCTACTCGGATCTCTTCGACAGCCACGTCCACCTGCAACCATACCCGCCTTGAAGCAGGATGGATATGTCGTTCCTGCAGTTCTCCTTCCGAAGTCCGACACGCCATCTCGTCGGTGAAGAATCGTACGGCACCCGGTCCCGACAGGATCAGACCCGAACATCTGAAGAATCTTCCGCCAGTTCTCGTCAAAACTCGCTCGACTCTTCACGCGCTACCTGTCGGAATGCAAGGTACCCACCTCGTGGAAAACCAGCAAGACTGTGTTGCTGTACAAGAAGGAGACCTGTACGACATTGGCAATACGCCAATTTCGCCTGCATGCTCTGATAGTCTACAACTCTTCACACGAGTCATCCTGAATAGGATTGGCAGAACACTAGACGAAGGACAGCCATGCGAGCAAGCAGGGTTTCGAAGAGGATTCAGCACGATTGATCATCCACACGTTTAACGACAGCTCATCTGAAGTTATCGCGATAGCTACAAGATTTCGGCCCCCGCTATGTCTCACGTTCATCGACTTGAAGAAGGCCTTCGACTCCGTTGAGACAGAAGCGGTTATCGAAGCCCTGGGCAACCAGGGTATTCCTACTCAGTACATCAGGATTCTCTTCGTGAGCTTTACAGCAACTTCACGACCAAGATTTCACCATTCTACAAGGAGATCATCATTGATGTGAAGAGAGGGGTCCGACAGGGCGACACCATCTCGCCCAAGCTCTTCAGCGCCTCTCTCGAGAACGTCATGCGTCAACTGGAATGGGAAGACATGGGAGTGAAGATCGACGGTCGGCAACTACACCATCTCCGCTTTGCTGACGACATCGTTTTGATAACGCCAAACATCGAGCAAGCGGAACGAATGCTGGCTGAATTCGACTGCGCGTGTGGAAGAATCGGTCTACGGCTGAACCTAACGAAGACGATGTTCATGAGAAACGGATTGGTATCTGATGCCCCATTCACGCTCAACGGAACGACCATCTCTGAATGCTCTAGCTATGTGTACCTAGGTCGTGAAATCAATATGATGAATGACCTAGCTCCAGAGCTGAGCAGGAGGAAGCGAGCGGCTTGGGGAGCCTTCAAGAACATTCGCAATTGGGAGAGTAGCGAAGAAGACGAAGAACACCAAGCTCCGTGCCCACCTCTTCGATTCCGCGGTCCTTCCTGCCTTGACGTACGCCTCAGAGACTTGGACTCTACGAAAGCAGGATGAGCATGCGGTCGGCGTTATTCAACGCGCCATCGAAAGGGCGATGCTCGGAGTTTCCCGCTACACGCAAGTGAGAGAGGGAATCCGAGCGAGGCAGTCCGCCAACTCCGCCAACGATCGAAGATCAGAGACGCCGCCGCATTGCCAAGATTTCGAAGATCAGGTGGGCCGGACACGTTATGCGTTTCGAGGACGACCGCTGGACCAGAGCAGTCACCGACTGGATTCCACGGGATGTCAAGCGAACGCCTGGACGACCGCCTATGCGATGGTCAGACTTCTTCGTGAAAGCTCTGAACGAACGGTATGAAGTTCATCGTGTCCCTGAGCTGGAGACGATTCATTGGGCAACTCTTGCACGTTGCAGGACGAATGGAGACGTTACTGGCGCCCGCTCGAGGAACTCGATGATCAACGGGAGCACAGGTGATACAGGTGAACCTATATCATACCTTAGAACAAACGCCCCAGTATTCCAGTCGGACCGTCTCCTCTGCTTCCTTCCCTTGCGCATGCTCAGATGGGGCTGAGCACGCGCAGGGGAAGGAAGCAGAGGGGGGGCACTGGGCGTCCCCCCCCCATCGGCCCCACCCCACCCTGCCCCCGCACGAGCACACGTCCAGCTGCCACGCCAGCAGCTCGTGCAATGGCTCGGAGCGTAACCGAATGTTTGTTTATATAGGCGGAAGGCCGAATATCACGATCAAAACATTGCATTGATACTTCCGCACCAATCGATTTCCGGTTTGCCTAGCGGTCGTTTTCTCCTCCAGCGAACTCGAACCCGTGAAGCATTTTGCGGACGGACATACATACATACATACATACATACATACCTACAAACATACAAACCGACACACAAAGTTAGTGGTTTATAGAATAGAAGGATAACTGCATTTTCTTGATCGAACAAGCAGAATAGAATGTACAGGGCGGGCCAAAGCTTTCGAGACGCCATAAGTAAACTTTATTGGAATTCTTGAGTCGGACAATTTTCACACCATATTTAACGAGCAAAGGCGTGGAACATGTACGCGGAGCTAGCTGCGTCGTTATGGTTGAACCTATGGTAATGGTACTGCGCTGACAGGATTCCCGTACTGACCCCGAACACTTCGCCCGATTACATTAGAATACGGCCTATTTCATTATGATTCTCCTATTTAATGAACGTTTGCTAAAGTCTGGTGCTTATCACATTTCTAAGAAACACTCACCATCCGTTGGAAACAGGACAGCTTAGCGGGTTGAAAGACTTTTGATGGTAATAACATCGATATCATGGATCTCTCTCTATATCACAATAAAGTATTTAAATTCCAGGGCGATATCGTTTCACCAATAGCCTACATATCCAACGAAAACGTGCTGGTGAGCGATCATTTACCAGTGCAAGCTGTCTTTGACTTGAAGGTTAGTTCAGCTAAACATTCCACGGAATATTCTGTCAGGACTTGACACTGCTGGTAATTTCTTGGGTTTAAAGTTATTAATAAATCGGGAGATGTTCCGAATGTTTCTCAACAAAATCAGGCTCCAAAGCTTGCTGCCAAGCACCAAATTTCAGACTTCATCTTGTTGTTTGGCATAGAGATCGCTGTTCGATGCGGGATAACGCAATATTTTGTCCGAATTGTGCTTCCGGGGTGATGCTCGGCCCCAAGTGCCCGCTCTGACCACTGAAGTGTAGCCTAGTGACTAGTCTGAAAACTTACAATCACCTTTTCAACAATGCGAGTCAGAGTGTAACACCCTCCATATTTTTGTTTTTTATGATCACTTATACTTTCTTAGTTCCACTTCGTCTCTATCCGGTGCTGCACATACTTCTCCATCCGACATTCCAAAATGGTTCTATTTCAGGTTCCAGCATCACAAGGTACTAACTGGGATGTGTTGTTTGAACATTTACCTACGTGGTACACAACTGTGCCGTTAATCAGTCGATTTCAATTCCGTAACAATTACTGGAGCAGCCGTGGTAGCTACCTTGATTGGGCAGCAGTCTATCCGGTATATCATTCTATGAATTACAACAGAATAATTCACTGTCTCTCTTTCATATTTTCTATTTCAGCAATAACCAGTGCAAATTCACTCCCTTAAATTTAAAGAAATGAACAAAGTATCCACTCCCACTTGTGGGGCATTTCCCGATTCCTCTCTATAATAAACGCCGAAAATCTCTTTTACTGTAAATTGTTGATGCGAAGGCATACATAGTTGGCAAGGTAGGACCAACAATTCCGATTAAGATTTACAGTGTTGTTCGCTGCAGATGCTGGGGCAGTCAGGAGGTGGATCTGGCACGCCAACCCGTTTTCCACTAGTTCTTATGGCTTGACTTCCTCAAGAAATGGTGTAGACGGGCTGCTGCCGCGCCAACCCCCCCCCCCTCCCGACCCGCTTCTGCGAACTAGGCTGTGTGAGGAAATTGCCATTAGATTGAGTGAAGGTACTGAAATTTTAATAATATTCCATAAAAACTCACAGATGTCATAACTGACAATCTTTTGCGCATTAGGTTATTCGTTATAACATTTTATCTAGATGTTTTGCTACTAGGAGGCAGAGGTGGTGCAGTGGAAACTGACACGCTTACTACGCGCACGGTCTGGGTCGGCTCCCGTCCAGGCCAATCCAGCTTT